AGGGTGGTGCCCGGCCAGACGACACCAAGATTCAGTTGGTGCAAGAGTGGCCAACACCACGGAATGTCCATCACATCAGAGCCTTCCTTGGATTAGCAAACTTCTACCAACGATTCGTGCCAAAGTTTGCTTCCGTGGCCAGACCAATGACGGACCTCACCAAGCTGCGTGAGCCGTTCGTTTGGGGGGAAGCGCAAGAAATAGCATTTCAAACTTTGAAGGACAGACTGACCCAAGCTCCATTACTACTTTTGCCAAATGACGAATTGCCATTTGTCGTCATGACCAACGCAAGCGACTATGCCACGGGAGCGGTTTTGATGCAAGACCAAGGAGGACTATTACAACCGGTCGAGTACTTATCGCGACGACTCGGGCAGGCCGAGATGCGCTACCACACCTACGACAAGGAAATGTTGGCCGTTATTCATGCTTTAAGGAGCTGGCGACATCTCTTGGAGGGGCGACGATTTCAGTTGCACACCGACCATCAGACGATAAGACACATACAAACACAGAAGAATCTGTCCTGACGCCAGGCACGATGGAGCGAATTTCTGCAAGACTACGACTTCGAAATATGCTATCAGAAGGGGAGCTGCAACGGAGCTGCTGACGCCTATCACGACGACCAGGTCCGGAGGACGTCAGTGACGACTCTGGTGGGACAGACGTCAGTCAAGAAGCTGACGCACTCACTAGGAGCACATCAACAGCATGGTATGACATGAGGCACCAAGACTTCCTGCGTTTGTATGCATCCGCATTGCATGAAGATCCAGACCTCGCTACGGCTCGAACGGAGGCGAGGCAAGAAAATGGGATTCATAAGTTTGCGAACCGCCTCTTATGGAGGAAGCAGAGAGATGGACAATAGAAAACAGTGGTGCCGAATAACACAAAACTGAGAACCATGCTACTCCGAGAAGCTCATGATGCACCCGCGGCTGGACATTTGGGAAGAGCAAGAACCATAGAGCGACTCGATCGACACTTCACCTGGTCGGGGATGACCAGCGATGCACGCGAATATGTTCGCACATGTGACGTATGTCAGAGGACCAAAGTAGAGATGCAACTACCACGAGGATTACTACACCCGCTCCTAGCACCAGACGGGAAATGGACACACATCACCATGGACTTAGTGACCTGTCTGCCGGAGACGCCGGAGGGGTATGATGCAGCCGTAGTCTTCACAAATCGCTTCACGAAGATGGTCCGGTTTGCACCAACAACGATAACGGTGACAGCACCACAATTGGCACGGATTTTATGGAGCAAGTCTTCAGGAATTTTGGACTACCAAAATAGATCGTCAGTGACAGAGACCCCCGATTCATGGGGAACTTTTGGAAAGCGCTGTGGAAGCATCTATCGACAAAATTACACCCGTCAACAGAGCATCATCCACAGACGGACGGGGCAAGTGAACGAGCCATTCGAACTTTGGAGCAGATCCTTCGAGCTTACATGGCGTACGACCAGCGGGATTGGGCTGAACATCTACCGATCATCGAATATGCCTACAACTCCGCTCAACATGCAAATACCAAGGTGTCACCGTTTTTCCTGATGACGGGGCAATATCCACGGGGACCTCTCGAATCGATTGCAGATTTTGCAACCAAAGAACATCAGAATGAGTCAGCTACAACGATGGTAGCTTGGATGCAAGCTGATGCCACCCGAGCCCAACAGACCATTCGAGAGGCACAGGAATATCAGAAGCAATACGCTGATAGACACCGACGAGAGGCTTCCTTCAACGTTGGAGATCGAGTGCTACTGAATACTATGCACATTTCTGTAGGATCAAGAGTACGTAAGCTCGCTGAGCGATTCTGTGGCCCCATGAAGATTCTGGAGGTTATTTCTCCCTAGGTGTACAAGCTGGAGTTGCCCCCTTCACTGAAGATTCACCCAGTTTTCCATGTGTCCAAGTTGCGTCCATATCATGATGATCGTGGACAGTTTGCACGTCCTGAACGTGTCCAACCTCCTCCCATGATGGTTGACGGACAAGCTGAATTTGAAGTCGAGCGAATCATCGACAAGCGGGCCCAAAGAATTGGACGAGCCAACCGAACAGAGTATCTCGTCAAGTGGAAGGGATACGATCACTACGAGAATACCTGGGAACCGCTGGCAAACCTGGAGAGGGCTCGACAACTTGTACAAGAATTCGAAGAGCGGGCGACTACAGGGTGACAACACGAGCCGAGGACGCCTCGTAACAGGCCCGGAGGGATGTGAGGGTAACAATCAGCGTTTCCAAAGAATTACTAGTAGGTGGGCGTCGAGCCCCATGTTGGTGAAACACGATAGCTTCTGGGCCAGGCGGGAGCTGCGCTTGATGAGTTTGAGAACGTTTGCATAAAGGCTTAAGCGCTGTGGGACCTTGGGACCAAAGGCAATGCGGACGGAATACAAGCATTCGAACACAAAGTTGGCGGGCATGCCAGAATTGGGGATGACTCACCAATTTCTGGCATGACCCTTGAGATTCCCGGGCGGGCACCTATAAATACGAGTGCACCCAGCCCATTTTGTAACCGTGAGTTTTCCCATTCCTTGGATCCCGAATTGGACCAACGGGCCCAGAGTTGCCGCCAAGGCTCCGCGCCCCTTACAACTGGGTTGACGTTTGGGTGGAAGAATTCCCCCGCAGTCTTCACCAAGCTGATGTGCCCGGTGGTGGCATTTCTCTGTGCATTCCAACCACAGGCATTTCAAGCCCTCTACCAAACCTGGGGCCCCTTCACCATCGACCGGTTTGCAACGACCACCAACTGCATGGTGCCCACGTTCAACAGCCGCTGGTGGTGCCCGATGATGAGCGGGATCGACGCCTTCGCCCAGACCGACTAGGGGCTACACAACAACTGGTGCAACCCCCCGTTCTCCCTCCTCCATCGTTTGGTGAGCCTCCTAGAGTCCATGCCCCAGGTGCACACAATGGTGCTTGCACCGATCTGGCTTGCCGCGCCTTGGTTTTAGCGCCTTTTGCTGCTTGCCAACGTGACTTGGGAGCTCCCGGTGACCCCCGATCTCTTCACGGCGGGGGGGGCGGGCACCTCCTTGGGCCCCCCGTGTTGGCGGGTCCTTGCGGCTCGTATCGATCATTGCGGTTCTCCCCACCCTGCCTTCCCCTCCCTTTGCCACCCTGCTCGGACTTGACGGCCTCAATTCTTCGGGGCCTGTTTACCATAACGGATTCTTGCTAGAGCTTTTGCGGCTCAGCATCGAGGAACGGCTAGCCGTGATGCAATCGTTGGTGGAGGCCAATGCCCCGTCGGGCCGCGAGGCCATTTGGCGCAAGTTCCAAAAGTTTGCCCGCATGTGCACCGCCCGCGGATGGCGCGCCCTCCCGACCTCGCCCGAGATGCTCTACGCCTTCGTGCTCTTCCTAAAGGCCGAGGGCCGGGTATCGGTGGATTCGGCTGGGAGCTACCTTTCGGTCGTCTCCACGATCAATGTGTGGGCGGGCCTGGTGGGCGGTTGAGCTCATGACGCAATCACCGCCCGCCTCTTGTGGTTCTGGCACATGGGCGCCCTTCCGGCGGCTTACCGGGACTCCATCCTTGCCTTTCCGGTGGTGGACCTCTTCTGGTTGGCTACCCTGGCACAGGTGGGCCCGTCCAAAGTTGGTAGGAATGGGAACGGCAACGGTGTCCGTTCCCGTCCCAGGGACGGGTCTGTTCTTGGGACGGGAACGGACACCGTTCCTGCCCCAGGAACGGACCCGTTCCTGGGTCCGTTCTTGGGTAAGGAACGGACCTGTTCTAGTCCGTTCCAGTCCGTCCCAAATCCGTCCCAAATCTGTCCGGCCCAAGGACGGGGACGGACTCTAGTCCGTCCCCGTTCCTGGATGGCCCACCTCTGTACCCTAACACTGGCCAAGACCAATCCTTACCGGGTCTGGCCTTTTGTGTCCCTCATTCTGGACACCGTTTTCTTTTCGTGGGCGGACTCCGGTTTCCACATTCTGCTGGACAACATTTGGTTTGGCAACTCTGCCGGCGACACCACCTCCCCCTGCCCCACGCACCTCTTCTTTCGGGAGCGGCGCCACAAGTCCAAATCCACCCGGGCCCTCCTCTGGCGCATCTGGGCCTTCGACTTCCGCGGCTTCCCCGACCTGGCTCAGGTCATCCGTCATTGGATTCGCCTGTGCGATGCTTGCCGGGTCCAGTATCTTCCTGGCCGCCGCGGATACATCGAGTTCTTCTACGGCCTTCCCTCTAATGCTCACCCCCCCTCTGCCCACGCCGTACAAGCCTGGTTCCTCAAGGCCGCCCAGCACCTCACTTCGGCGGGGCAGGACTACGGCCACCACTGTGTGCAGCGTACGGGGGCGTCATTTGCATTTTCTATACTAATGCCCGAGGCCCAGGTACATCATTGGGGGTGGTGGGCCCCGGTGTCCGCGGCTTTATGGAAGTACGTGGATTTGCAATGGCAGCCTATGGAGTATGACTACCGCCTTTTTGGCTGGATGCTTGTGGCGGCCGACTCCATTCGGGATGAGATTCGCGACATCTTCTCTGCGACGTCTCCTCCTACTGTACCGTCCCCTTGATGGGGAGCCTTTCGTTCCCCTGTACTTTCCGGCCCTGTGCTTCTTGCACTTTGGGGCACGGGCCGTATTGTTTGGAGGCGGGCACTCTTCGGATTATGGGTGATATACCCCGTTTTGGATGGAGGGAAAATACGTGTTTGTGGGATGGTGTTGAACAGGTGTTTGTTGGAATTGGATCATGTGGACATTTTGTCACGGTTGTGACGTTCTGAATATGTAATCGCAATTACATGTTCAGCCTGCCATTGGGCGGGTAGATCGCAGGGCTGTACCGTAAGTGCTGGTGACACCGCAAAACCAGGATGATGACACCACAAAAATGAAGATGATGATGACACCGCAATGTCCCCGCACAAAACAGGATCTGCCGCGCTGCACTCTCCGACCCACCCACCGTTCGCCCACGGACACCACCAGCATGGCCACCCGGGCGCCGGCGGCGGATGGGCCTCACTCGGTGACAGAAACCGAGGTGCTCCCCGCCCACCAGCACAAAGGCGTCGGGGCGTTCAGCAGCGCTCCGCAACAGCCTTGGCGCCATCCCCGAGCCTTCAGGCCTCCAGGAGCGCCGGCTGGCAGCTGGACTCGCACACCTTGGTGGCACTGTGAGTGCGCCCCGTCTGTCTCTTTGTGCCGCGCCGCGATCAGCCATTCGCCAGCTTGGACCATTTTGCCTTCGCGGATTGGGGCAGACTACTGACGGGGGAACTCCGAGGCTCAACGCGAATATCCGGTATCCAAAGGAAGCCCATTTGGGCGTCGATAGATCGAGGACTGTGTCAGGCGCTGAGTGACATGTGGCACCGTGCTGGGTGGTTGGATCCGGATCTTGCACGGACTGACCGCCCCACGAGAACTTGCGGCTTGGACGTGGTTGCTTGCTCGCGTCCACCAGTCCCTCGTTGAAATCTACAGCCCACGCTGGCTACAAGTTCACACACAGGCAGCAACTTCGCCAAAGCACGGGGAAGGGCATCGAGCTGACGGACTGATTGTGGACAGGCGTGCTGTATGACCCCTACGAGCGTGTCAACGTGTGGTCGCACGGGGTACCATCGCTTCTGCTCGTTCTCCTCGGGTGCGACCACCTATCAGGCAAACCCCTTTCCGACCTACGCATCGCCCCTTTCACACAGAGGGCCAGTTTTCACACTGTTATTGTCAACAAAATGTTGAAGTATTGCACCCTCAGCACGAACACATGGTGCCTGGGAGTGGCTCAATTGACCAGTAAGGCTGCTGCCAGTGACATGCCATAACGACCAGAAACGTGCCATGCTGCTGCGAGTTTGGTTCGTTGCGACGCTCTGCCTTTCTGATGCAAACCCGCACTCCGCAGGCTGGCTGCCTTGTCCGGCCATGTACCCGGCTCAACGCCCATGGCCTTGTTCTGCACGTTGGCCGCGACCTGTCAGTCGTTCTCCGCCTTGGCGCACGTCTACCCTGACCATCATGGTCTGGTACGCCCTCTTGGCTGTCTTCTTGCCGGTCAATCCCTTTTGCTCTTGGCACATGTCAAGGGCCCTGCAGTGCCTGCTCCCCAGCACACAACCTTTTTAGTGGTCGCAGCGCTTGGCCTCATGATTCCATCTAGTGCTCCGATTTTTCTGTAGCGAAGCTTTATCCACATCCTGGTGGCTCTTGCAATCTAACCCACCAAACAGTGATGAACAGAATTTTGGCAGGAGATTGTCAAGAACAGCTTAAGTCACCGGACAGGTCATCTGCGGGGAACTTGCATATCACAACCACAGTAGAGGCACTCCAGCATGCTGCACTCATGGAACAAATAGATAGAGGGACTGACCACCTGACATTCAGTGGCCAATCGTGGGCCGAGGGGGTGAGTTAAGTTGGTTGTTCATCAAGGACTTCTGTCAGCGTTGTGTTGCTATGTTTATGGTAGTAGCAAGTTTTGAACACTAGTATCTTGATCCTGGTCCTGTCTTAGATTTTGAAGGGTCCTTCTTAGATTCTGGTTTGCGTATCTTGATGCAGGAGAAGTTGGACCACATTGGCATTCTTGGACTCATGTTTGGCACACCCTATTCTGAGCTCTTGGTAAGTTGGAGATTTCTGGAATGCAAGTATAGATATGCAGCTGGAGATTGGGTTGTACCATGGTGGACAGCATCCATGAAAAGTCGGCACTGGCTGAATTCAGCGGTGGGGCAACTTTCTGGCCCTAAACTTACAGTTGAGGCCAGTGCATTGTCGCTGACCCCTGTTTCGAAGCATTTGAGTTCAGTTGTGCCTCTCTGCTGAAGTCGCCTTGAATGGCAATCACAACACCTCTGCTATGTCAGTACTCCTGGCACATCATGTTGGCTTGGACCCAGGGATTTTGTCAGGAATCTTCGTGTTTGAATGTGGCACTGGGGGGTCATCGACCAATGTGTCCAACTTTCCATGTTCTCTGTTGACTTACCACATCCATGTTTCCAATGTTCCAGTGGGGCTGGGCCACGAACAATGTTGATGTTAGTTGTGAGTCGTGGCGACGTTGATTATTTGTGTTTCCTGCTTGTCAGGCACATATCCAATTCAAGGACCTGGATGTGGATCTGAGTCCACTTCTGTGCATGGTCGTTCTTGGTCTACTGGCAGCCTTCTTTCCACCTGCCCCTCGCACAATATCTTTTGGTGCTGCCGTTGTGGGGATGTTTTGCATTTATTGGGATGAGCTCATAAGCACCAGCATGGTCGTGCAACTAGGGCTGTACCTGATTGGTGCCATATGTTTCTTGAGGTGAGTGGGTTAAACGAACAAGCTTGACCACAGTGGTGCAGTGGTGGCCAGTGCTACATCAGCAGGAGCTAGTGGTGTTTGGCTGTGCCGATCTTGGCCTTGTGGTTCTCTTGAAGCGTGGCTCTGCCAGATGTACGTTGGTATTGTGCCTTATATGAAGAGTGCACCCTTAACTGTGCCTAGGTCAGTATTTCTGAAAGATGCGACCCACACTATGAATGATGATGTGCATGGAAACGGAACTGATCAGAAATATATGCAGCAAGGACCTGACTCCAGTCCATAGAGGGAATAGCGAGTTGCTGGTCGAAGACTCTCACCAGCTCGTGGCTCCCATCCAGGTCCTCTCATGGGGAGCAAAACATAGGTCAAGTTTTCTCGGATAATGCACTGTATCTACAACCTGCATCACCATTTGCGCTACTATGCTTCTGTGCACGATTGTTGGTTGTCCTGCCAGTCTTGACTTGTAGTCATTGGCAATCTGAATTTCGGAGATGATGTGTGACTGCAGGAATGGAGGCCACAATCGCGGAATGGGCCTGGCTGACCATCACATCCTTCACTATGTGGTCACAGCCGCATGCTCTGTGCACGCCCTTCATCTGTGGACATTGTCTAGTGGCGCTGGGCAAAAAGCGACGTAACCACCCATCGCAATTGATCTTGTTTTTCTCACAGAATGCTGTAGCGATTTGAACCACAATCCGCCATGGCACTCTCTCGTGGGCTTGGCTTTGGCGTGGAGCACATCGATTGTTGTGGTGACTTTGGTCCCACTCCAATACGGTGCGTCAGCACGCCTTGAACACGCCAATGTGCAGTGTGTGGCTCGTCCATGAAGGGTTACTGTTCGGGGCACCAATAAATGGAGCCAATCTATATGAATGGATGGCTACCATGCCACATGAAATATTACGCGAATACTACCAAGCTGGTGCCCCGTGAGGCCCAGGATTCTAGGCCAGTGTGGCCTCGGTCGACAGTTTGCAAATAGACCGGAGGGGTGCCCCTCAAGCAGCCTACCATGAGGCCACAAGGAACCCACAAGGGCTGTCAGGGCACGGATGTACGCCAAACTGCCACGTAATCCCGCCCAGCTATTCACCCACTGCGCGGGAAGCACTCAGGAAGCACCATGGCCTGTGAGGCCCGCACCCGATGCTAGCCACCTGCATGCCTAGCGACTAGCCGAGATGCCGCACGCGTGCCAAGCGATTGACCCGAACGCACTAAGGCCACGTGCCGATGGGCCTTGCATGGAAAGATCGGAGCAATACCCGTTGATCGGGCAGTTCAACCCATGGGAACCCATGGGACTCCACGGAGGGGGTTACAGCCGCACGGCGGCGAAGACAATCCCGAGGGGATTGTTAGGATGTGGCTGGGGGGATCTGGAGGCAAGGGGGCAGAGTTCCCTTTCTGCTTGGGAGCACACTTACGGAGGGGTGCTCGAGAGAGAGCACCCCCCAAGATGGATGCGGGAGCTGATGGCGGGGTGGCCCAGACGCATTTCCGAAATGGGGGGGGATCTTTCCGGTAAAAGTGAACTGGCCATTCTATGGAGGGGGGCCTTGCACCCAACCCTGTTGGGGGGGTTTGCTCGCGGAGCCTACCTCGAGCAAACGCGCCGACCCGATGGCGGACCGGAGGGGGTGCAAAGGGGTGCGAGTGCGGGGAGTGAGATAGAGGGGGGCGCCCGTACCGCTGAATGCTGATTCAGCAGGGTGCCCGGGAGGATTTGCAATACGTGCGTGTATCGGGCAGGAATTGGGCGTTGTCACATCGCCCTATATGCTAGGTGACTGTACGCAACCTAGCACGTGGGATTTTGATTGCAGTCAGGCATGGAGACTCATTACGGGTTGAAAAGGGTCATTATGAGACTCTACTGATACGGATCAATTGCAAATTCAATTTGCAATTGAATAGTACAAATTTATGTTTTTATAATAAGTTTGCAAATTCTAGGGTCCTGAAAAGAACAAATAAGTGGACCCTAAGAAACAACCTTTGTTTCCGATGGGTATTTGGGGAGTTTTAGGGCTGTAAGGCTAAGTGTTGTTGGAAAGAAATAATGGTTGAAGTATTTTAGGAATTGTGGAGGCTGCTATTAATTATAGCCTTAATAATAGGGTAGTTTATTATGAGATTTGGGTGGATCTGCTCATGCCCTATGCGATCTGTTGCGAATCGCGACCAAGGGTAGTAGACCACCCCCGGCACCATGTCGATTCCGACTTTGGGGGATGGGGTGGACGGGCGCATGGCCACCATCCTAGAGTGGCAGAAGGGTCACGGTTTTCCAGGCCATCAGGAAGTCCAAGACTTTTTTGAAGAGCTGGAGCTTTTCCAACATCAAAGGCTTGCACAACTTGGTGTGCAAGCTGTTGTGTGGTCCACATGCGGAAGCATTAGTTTCGATAGGCCTTAGAAGAGGGGAAACGACATGAAAACTGCCTTCCTTGAGGAATGGGATGAGGCGCTGCGACGAGATGGAGTTTTGTATGACTTGACGAAGAGTGCAGTTGTGATCGTCACCCAAAATTTTGATATGGATAGCCTTCCCCCACTTATCAAGTCACAAAGCGAGGTCACTCTTCCCCTTTTGTATGGACTCTAAGCGATGGTGTATAGAAGACTTGAACTAGCATGACGAGTAGCCTCGAGGGAGGTGGCGCAGACGAATCTCAGAAAGGAAGAGAACAAACCAGTTCTCTTGAGAGCATACGAGATTATTAACGACCAGTTGAAAGTCATTGAGAATCGAGTTCTGAAGGAGTTTTTTCATCATGGGACCACACAGACGATTGAAGACGCTTGTGAGAACGATGAAGAAGTCCAAGCTCTGAGAGTTGAAAAAGCTCAGTTGCAGTCCATGCATTATGGATTAATCCCTATGACTTCCTTGATGCCATGTATCGATCAAGCGCCCAACGATTACCCTGAACGACAGAGGGAGATCGACCGTTGCTTGTTAAGGATGCGGTGAAGGTCGAGATGACGAATTGTTTGGCCCAGAAAGGACCAAAACTATCGATCGAGCCTGAGGAAAACGTGCCACGTGCCGAACGCCATCCATGAGAACGGCTGGGCATGGGCAGCATGGTGTGGCGAGTCTATGATGGCATGCTGATCGGAATCAGCTGAGCTGACGAGGATAGGAGCCGTGTGGGCCACAGAAAGTGCTGGCATGAGTGGTACACGTACAAGATCATAGATACGACGCAAGATTTGATCAGATTTGATTAGATATGCTAGATTTTGATGACAGTGACCAGTTGAACAGCCGTAGGATGCATGGCTGGGACAGTTCGGCTGTCACTGTCAATGCATGATATGACTTTTAGTTCTTGATAGGCATAACAAGAGGCATTGTCAGAGGGGTAGTAGAGAATCTTATGAAGCATATTCTATGGAACGTGTGGCTAAGAACAAACATACTAATGTATATAAACTGGCTGGTCGGCGATGTTGTTGACCTCCAATCTGTAATCTACATTTGGTTACTACTGTGGCAGTTGACCAGGCCTCCTCAACGACTGAGGAGAGGACCTGTGAGGCCAACTGAGCTTCCCTTTCGAGGGAGGGACTCAGGTCCTGTGTGCAACTGGCGTGAGACGATCGGCCTGTGCATCTCTGGTCGTTTCGTCGCTCGAAATCGCTCCAATTCGACTGGATTCAAGTCGATTCTCCACTGCTGCCCTTCGGAGAGGTCTAGCCATGGCGTGACCACGATCTTTGTATTACATACAGGGTCAATTTGAAGGCCATTGCATGCACTCTGCGCACTATGCGCCAGTCAATAATGCCCGCAACCTTTGGTGTCCGATCCACAACAATTGCAGGCGCAGCAGAGAGGAACAGCTGGTCAGGCACCTATTTACCGCGCCAACCCGTGGTCTGCGACCAGTGTTGCCCCTGTCAGACTGACGGTATCCTCAAGGGGTACCTTGAGGCCCTGTGGGATTGTCAATTGTGGGCAACTGGATAGCCATGTGGCAGAGTCCACGAAATGGGACTGCGACTGCTGGGAAAGCGAAGAAATGGCGTGATGTTGCCGTTGGAAGGTTTATCTGCATGCCGCAACCGCACAACGCACACCGCTTAAATCGCCTGATTCACACGGCCGACGTCAGCTGTGCCACGGACTTGGCACAGCCTCGCGTGGAAGATGTTCAGTCTAACTTTGTTGTGCCTGTGGTAGTGGTGGTGGGCGTCGTTACGCACACAGCGAGTACACGTGGGTGTGGCTCACTCTTTTGCTCCTGTTTGCGCATGCTTACCTTGTGAAAGGTAGTATATTTGGCCGCATCCCGCTGGATGCTGGCAATAGCTGAAGTAGTATCTTGTGCGCACATGTCTGCTCACCTCACACTGAGAGCCAAGCGTGGCACTTGGACTTCGCCTACTTCACCCTGGCGTCCTAACCACACTGTACTTATTTTACAATACTCCCTTTCCACGTCCATGGAAGCCAGGCCAGCAACCGTTCGCCGTGCATTTCCTGTCTGTAGCGCCATCGAAATATGGCCGCTGCTGGGCTGCGTCCCAAACAGCATGAGAACCACTTTGACTTTGGCCAGGATAACCTCCGTGTCAATGGTCACGCGTCTGCCCTTGTGAGCCACCAACATGAGGCGCCTCGCACCTTACACTCGTGCTCAGAGCTCAGAGGTGTCCGAGCGGAGGCGTCGAGCGATAATAGGTCAAAACTGCATTTGTGCTGAATCCACTTCCAGGAATACTGGCGCTCCCCTCCCTCCGCGTGCCCCTGCCTCCCCCCAGCACATCCCCAAAGGCGCCCAGATGTTAGCCTCCCTGCCACGTGTCGCTAGCGTCCTTTTATGAGCTGAAGAGCGATGGGAGCCCCCAAAGAATTGCACCCACCCCGCTCAGGCACCTATGCATACGAAATCCCACCCACAAACCCCGTTGCCCCCTTGTGCAGCCTTCGTTTTCACCAGCATCTCACCCAGCTGTGCTTCTATGCACATCCCCTGTCTGTGCATGCTCGTCATCGTCAAAGGTACTGTCTGCTGTCATTCCAGAAGCATGCATGGGGTGGTGAAGGCCTGGGGCATCAACAGACACCCATGCCAGCGGCGAATTTCTCAAGGGGACATACACCAGCCCCTCAAAACCCAAGCAGCCACAATCAAATAACCCAGCAGCCTAAAACCAAACCCGCATGTCCGGCCTGCAATGGCAAAAAATCTAGCAGCCCACTTGCAGGTACTGAACGGAGTGCAATAACAGCTGCATACGTCGCACGCCTACGCACACGCCCTCTGAATCGCTGACTCAATTTCATACAATTCCTTCAAGTCGGTTGCATGAATCTAGACAGAAATGTGGTCATTTTTCAAGAGTATGGTACAGTCAGGTAATCAATACCCCTATTGCCATGCAACCACAACAAATTCGGTGAAGTTTTTGTTCTTCTCAGGTTTTATTCCAGTCAGTGAGCATTGTTGGTCACCACTCCGCGCTGCCACGTTCTCAGGCACCCCACAGGCACCCTGCGCTCGATCCCCATCCAATGCATGAAGAATAAAAAAGCAAGACACAGGCTTACGGAATTCCCCTGCTCAGCGCCTCCAGCCCGTCAAAAAGTCGTTCGCCAGTCGTCATTTTCCTAAAAGTTGAAAGTACATGAAGGTACTGCCCTATGATCCTGTCAACCTCCCCTGCTATGAGCAAAATTTGTTCATTGCGCAGCAATTCGCTGCTCCAATAACCGGCTGTGGGTTCCCAAATGAGAAGAGTGCCCAAACTGCGTCCTATTTCGGCCACGCCACGTGGCCACAGCCCACACCTTGGGGGGGTCGAGGTTCTATGTGCAGACCATGAGGTCGTCGTTAGAATCATTCCAGCCGACCTGGAAATACGGACCCAGGCGGAAATCGAGGCGCATCAGGTACTCGAACTGTAGGTCGCGTGCATCTTTGATGCCCACCGGGCGCTTGTGGATGCGCTGCAGCATTCGGACGAGGTCGGTAATGCACTTTGGATCGCACACCTACAGGAAACATTGCGAGAACGTCAACGCCGGAATCGTTGTTCCACACTGACTCTACGATCAGATGCAACACATTGTCAGCAAGTCTGTTCGCATTGGCATATAGTGTTAGCAGCCAGCATGCAGCCTGTGGTTGTGCACGCAGGTGATGCCGCCGTCAGATTCTGCAACGGGATTCGTAATGAATGGGGTATGACTTGGGGTGAAGTTCAGGGGTTTCGGGTGAGGGATGCACAGCTGAGCAACGGACCGCAGTCTGAAGCGAGGTTATTTGCAAGGCACGCATAAGATAGGGGACTACACCTGGGAGGCCAGAAAGAGGCACACACACATGGCCACCACGTCGAGCACCTGCAAGCCAACAAGCAACAACCGGTCAGAAATGAATTCAGGAATCCAAGCAAGGTCAATTTCATGCCACCAAGAGACTTGTGGGGCTTTATATGCGCATCTAGCAGGCGCCTTGATAGACGTCATACAACACACAACATGCACACATCGCTCAACGCAACAAGACCATCACCTCTTTCTGTGCACAGAAGAGGAGCATCCAACCAGAACGACAATGTCGAGCAATGCTGCGCATGATGAGCTACATACTACAAAGACTGCCACAACAATCCACTCTCGGATATAGCAATCAGTCCTGTCATGCGACTTTCCGCAGCTGCCTTCTGCTATGATGCCATCCTTCCCGCTGCTGGTCAGCGAAAGTCAGTCTCGTTCAGTACAGTACAGTCAAGCTGCATTTTTATCCTTTTCTGGAGACTGTACCTATACCCTGACAATAGCCAGTTGGTCACAAAATCGATAGTTCTGCTTACCTTAATTTCAAGCCGCAACAGGTAAGAATGAGCAAGACATATGGCTGATCCTGAGAATCTCCATTCCAGCCCAATCTCATACAGCACCATTTCCCGGGTAACTGGGGTGTACTTGATGTGAGTTCCTGGTGTCAGACCTGGACACAACAACAGCGCTCAGTAGTTTAAAACACACTGCCACCCGTGGTCAGCAGACGCAATGGGCTCTGCGCACGACCAGCAGCCCTTTTGGCCCCTGTTCAGTTCAACAGGCACTGATCTCCCACCCTGCAACAAATTCAATACAAATTGTACTGAACGCCACAATTTCACATCCGCAAAACTGGAGACTCACCAGGTAGTTGTGCCTGGAGGAGGTAGGCATTAGCACTCTGCATCTCCTTGTGGGTAGCCTGCATCGATTCCTGGGCATCTTTCTTCCTCTGCTCCAAGCAGGCAGCCTCGCTCTCATACCAGCGCTGTGACAAGGACAGGGCGTAGCCATCCCCTCGGGTGGCTGGAGCTGGAGCCGGACTGGTGGTAAACTCCAGCCTCTCATTGCATGCCAAGCTGCCATTGGCATTGCCGCTGCAATTCGTCCAGGATGTTGAATCTGCACGCTCTCTGCCTGCCCTCGCCTCAGCTTCGATTGCTGCACGCGGTCCTGACGGGTCTGGGATGTCCAGCGAGCCTGGGAGTGTGTCCTCGTGGCAGTACAGTATCGGATCCACACACCCACCCATGTGGTGTGGCAGCCTGCATGCATCCGCCTTCGGCTGCCTCTCTTCTTCACTGGCATCCATAGATCGCTCACCACAGCCATTGTTGGGTCCTGTGGGCATGCGTATGTGCAATTGGCGATTTCCTTGCGGGCAGGAATCATACTCATCGTAAAACCCCATCGTGCACCTCACCTGCGAATGCTTGTACAGCACCTTTGCAGGGTTTGTCCCCATATCGCATTGAGGGACACTCAGGAAATCGTCCAAGAGGTCCACAGGCCTGACCATGTGGGCCTGCGAGGGCATCCGCCACATGTCAGCCTGAGTCTGGGTGGGATGTCGGTCAGGCGGTGCCAGCCCCAGAGAATGCTGTTCATCGCAGCGTCTGGCCTCAGCGCAGAAGTACTCCCTGTCATGCGGCACTGGGGGCTCTTTTGTCTCCGTTTCGCGTTGAGCGACACTGAGGAAATCGTCCAAGACGCCCTTGGGCCTGGCCATGTGGGCCTGTGAGGGCCTCTGCCACATGTCAGCCTGGGTCTGGGCTGGATACTGGTCAGGTGGTGCCAGCCCCAGGGAATGCTGTTCATCGCAGCGCCTGGCCTCAGCGCGGAAATACTCCCTGTCGTACAGCATCGGGGGCTCCAGCCCATGTCCCAGCTCGAAACGAGGGGCCCATGGGTCATTTGGGACCTGTGTGGTGGGACACCGCATGTGTGCCTCCAGCAGCACCTTCTCCGCAGTCCCCATGGGATACCTGGAGTATGGCTTAGGGCAGTGCATGGGGGCCTGCGCACCCAGCGGCTGGCAGGGCGCCATGCCTTGGTATAGCTCAACTCCAAACCCCCAGGGCTGCTGCTGAGGCGGGCCAGGCCTGCTGTGCCCTGGCTCCCTGGCCCTGCACACAGTGTCAAAAGTGTTGGCTGGAGGAAAGCTGATGTGGCTTGCCAGGGGTGGCTGGCCGGGGAATGCCGCATGCCTGTCGAAGTTGCGGTGGCGTCCCCGGTTGGCATTGGCAGTCTCCATGAGATGCTTCATGTCCAGCCCCAGCCCACCCTGCCTCTCACATGGCCTTTTCACTGTCACCCCATGGGGAGGGTGGCCCACACCAAAGCGCTCCTGGGGAACCGCTGGCCTGTACATGATTGGGTCTTGCACTGCATTGGCCCCTCGATGCATCGCTGGGACACCCATGTGCATGTGCCTGTGGTGCTGCTGGCGCGCTTGTGCCGTTGCTGACACATTGTGCACTCCAGATGCTGAGATGCACACCTTGAGATCCAGCTTGTATGTGCCTAGGGGCAGTGGCCTCCCATCTTGACGACCATCTTGTCTCCCGTGGTCCTCCATCCACGGGCCTTCACACACACTGGAGGGGTAAACTGTCAGAACATCAGATTGGCCTGTGTGGAACCCATTGCCAAGGAGCAAGCACCAATATACAAGGCTTCACGACTGTGCATGTTGCAGTTCGACATTCAATTTCTGTGGAGTACCATCATTGAATATCATTCCATCATTGTTCTGCGCCTGCATATCAACCGTTTGTCCACAACCTTGAATTTCAAACCCTGAATGTGGCCACTATTGTCCGCCTGTTCACTACCTCTGCCACTGGCCCAGAACAGCACATTTCAACCCGAACCTCCATATTCATTTGGTCAGACGATGAAAATTTTGGGCTTGCTTCTTGGTACCAACAGTCCAGGCTCGACTGCTCAATATCCTGAGGACTGCATCCCTTGTTAGCAAGTGGGTGCCACTTTGTCACCTAATGCATAGACATTTCAGGTACGTACAAGGTCTGGATGTCAGCAGGGATCCAAAGAATTCAACACAGTGCAATGCAACTTGAGCACAAATTGACAACTAACCCTGTAGTGAGCACAATGTGTCCACAGAACACTTGCTGCAGCTGTAGCAGTGGTGCAATGATAAAAGCAAACAAATGATTGCTGAAACGCCAACGGGAGTTTACCCAGCCACAGGAAAGAGGCCCCAATCGGAACATTGCCTACAACATCCTCTGCAGTGAAGATAAACATGTGGCGAAACTGTCCGCTAAAACATAAGCTCTATCGGTATGCATGCCCAACAAAAGCAAAACAGTCAGCGGCACCCAGACGCAGGTCGTGCAGGATCTGGCGGTTGGCAATTTGCATGCCTCCCTTGCAGGGGCACCGCCACGACGATCTCATTGGAGCAGCGCGATCAGCAGGCCCAAGCATGGCTTGTGTTCGTTCGCGCCAGAATCCACAAGACACGAGAGGGCTCGTCGCGACACGTCCGCACGCGCAATTCAACATATATACATGCGGAAAAGGTCTTTCGTCGTAGAGGATGAAGCCCTGAAGATCAAGGGCCGCAAGTGCGAAACTGGCAGACTGGGGCGTCAGCAGCTTGCGTCGGCCGTCGGGCCCGGGATTCGGGGCGAAATTCACCACAGGCAGCCGTATCAACGCTTTGCAGCGGACGCCCTGCGCTGACGTCTCCACCAGCATCAACAAATGCCAGCGCAGTGGCCGCATGACCGGCGCCGCACGAAAAATTGACCCCAATCCCACGGGGACAATCTTCTTCAAACCAAAGCATCCTCCTGCGCGGGCACCAAGACCCGGAGACGCGCGGCTCGGACCGCGCGCAATTCGCCGCTCGCTTCCCCCCGCCCATGACGACCCTCCCCCAGCCGCCAGTCAGCCGTCGCGGCACGGACCTCCTGCCAATGCCATGCGCGCAGCTGGGCCGCGGCTGTGGGCCCCTCTCCACAGCGGCAGCGATTATACGCCCCGCCACACCCTTCCCGTTCCAAACCCGCCCCCCATCGCCCCGGCTCAATCGGCCCGTGGGACTTCCGCCCCAACCTGCACGCCGGAGTCGACCGGGGCGACCGCGCAGCGGCGGACGGCCCAGGCCAGCTGCAATCTTCCCAGCACAATGTCCAAGGGCAGACACGCACCTGCGAGCGTGGAGGGATCACGCGTTTGTGGCTCTGGGCTGGCGGCGCGAGCTGCACTACGACCGCCCCACGACCGCTGAGCGTGGGCTGTCAGACAGCCGCCGGCCTGCGTTCACAAGCACCGCCGCGCCAATCCGAGCCGACCCAAGCCGCGGGCGCGCCGGCCGCCGCGGGCCCACCGGCTCAGCAGGCGTTCCACGCGTCTGGCGGCATGCGGGGCGGCGCAAAAAGGAGTCGCCGACGCCGATTCGGTGGCGCAAGAATGCTGCCGACGGATTGAAGTCAACAGGCGGTTGCGCCCGCGAAACGCCCTGGGCCAGGAGGTAGGACCTAAAAGGCCGGAGGCAGTGGACCAGGCCGCTGACTCACGCCCACCGGGCTGCTCGCACGCCAGGCGAAGCATATCCGCGTTCCTGGCAACGGGGCCGTCCACGCCACGCCACACCCCCAGCCTGCCTGCATGGGAGTTGCTGACCGCCCGCCTTCGAGCGGCTCGCGACGGGCGCGCAAAAAGGCAGGGGAGGTTTAGGCACGGCCGCAGGCGTGGGCAGCGGGCCGATGGCCTCCGTCCGTACTGGCAGCGCCGGCGGAAGATTGTGATCTCCGCGGGCTACGCGTGGCACGGGCCCCGTGCCGGAAGTTGACTGGACGTCCCGCGACGCTCCTGCGGTCAATCTGCCGATTCCCGGCAACCTGGCACCGGCGGAGCGCTGGGCAAGCTGGGGCGATCACCCGTCAAGCGGGGCGGGGGGCCACGCCCGTCCAAAGCGCGACAAAACCTGCCCTTCCGGAGGCGACCGCAAATGTCGGGATCGCGAACGGGACCCCGTGGCGACGGTTCCCCTGCGCCCGGGGCGGCGCCTGCCTCACCGTGGGGAGGGGTGGGTGCGTGCCCGGCTAGCGGGCGCGTCGGGCCTCAGACCGCGTCGATCGACGCCCGAAGAATGGGATTGGCGCTGCGGGTCGGTCAAGGAGGGCGCAGGCAATCGGGGAGGGGCTGTCGGCCGCTTGCCGCGCCTCCTGTTTGCTCGCGGGTCTCGACGTCTGCCCGCCGCTCGGCCAAGCCCTCGCGGCCAGCGCCCCGACTGAGCCGGGCCCCGGCCGACCCAGTACCTTTCAACTTGTGCGCACGCGTGGGCGGGCCAGAAAGAGGGCGGACGTGGGACCTAATTAGGACTGACCGTGCTGATGCGACCTGCGCAGCGTCCGGCTGGGGATCGAACCGTGACTCTACCATGACTGGCGCTCGGAAGTCGCGGCCCCCGCCTGGCGCGCCCAGGGCGAAGCGGTCATCAAGGTGGGAGTCGACGTGCCGGTCTCCCGGCCGCGTTGCCCTGCGGCACGGGCACGGCGGGGGGGTGTGGCAGGCTGCGGCAGGCTGCGCTGTCGGTACTCAGTACTGCAGTCTGCGGTACGTAGTATATTCAACCCTTCAACTCCAAACAACTTTACCGTATTGCATTTTGCTCCGCATCACAGCATTATTTTCATTTTTTTCTTCTGCCATAATAAATGTCCTCTATTTGAAAGACAAAATTCGTTATAATAAAGGCCTCAAAAGTACAAAGCAAGGTCCTAATTAGACACATAAGGTCCCCAAATTCTAAACTACCAATTTTCAAAGAAAAAATTTGGTCCCACCCCTTGAAGGGCACCCTCGAAATTGCCCTTGGAGTCAAAAAATTTGTGCCCGCCACTTCCTCTTCCGCTGGAGATCTGCACGGTTCTAGATCGCTCCCATCTTGGGCAGCCAAGGGGGATGGCTTTGCAACTATTGCGGCGAAGGGCATCACCCCTTGCGCGGAATAACACCAGTCAAACACGCCTGATAGTGTTTGGATCGTTGCGGCAGAATTCCATTGTTGCAAAGAACGATGCTAGAAATCGCCGCGAACCTAGATCCGAGATGCAAAAAACTGCCACGAGCAGAATAGGCCAAGATCCAAGACGTTCAACCTAGGCTCCGTGTGCTATACCACCCCAAGGTATTCGTGTGGCTTTACATGGACAGCTTGCCTAGATTGATCCTTGAATCGAGGTCTTTGTAGGAAAATTGCAAACCAACTGGCCCACAATCCATGAATTGCCACTAGCAGCCACCTCTTTTGTGTGGGCCACAATCCATCACCACCTATCTAGTCTACGCTCATGAAGGAGACATGGTGCTAGCACCTAACCATTCTCTTTGTATCTAGCCCGATTGAAATTCCACAGCAAAGCCAATTTTGCCAATCTTGTGTTGATGACAATTCCCACAACAAGTTATCGCTAAATGCGGTGTTAGGCTTCATCTTCCCTGTTATATTGTCAAGGGGATTCGGAGTCACCCTTTGTTGTCTTGATGGCACCAACAGACGGCGAAAAGTCTTGGCCTCGAAAATTCGGGGCCTGAAAGCAACTCTAGTCCACCAGGCCGGCACTGAATTTCAGCCATAAGCTACGGCGAATTGCACAATCAGGGCCTTTAGAATGGGTTTCCTATTGCCACATTTCCTCACAAGTAACACACTGATCTTATCTGAACAACATGGATAGTTGTGCATGGGCGGCTCTATTTTGCTGCCATGAAAGCATGCTTATCAAAACAATAAAAACGGTCATTTTTTGGAATCGTTGGAAACTAGGTGGGTTTCTGGCGGGAGGGACCTCACCATGAAATGGAGGAAGTACATTGCTCCAAAAACTTTTCAGTCAAAAACCATTATTTGTTTTATTGTTTTCTTTGCAAAACAAGGCCAAGCATTATGTTACTATAAAGAATGGTCGAATATACGATGGTACAAGCAAGAGTGGCGAATGCTACAACGCACCACAAATTAGGCTCCAAGCATTGGGCATGTGGGTTCGGGCACCCACGATAAGGTGTAGCGTGATATGTGTGAGGCCATGCCATAGCAAGGTTGGACAATTACTATGGGCACTCTAAGAAACAAAAGTTCCTCCACGTTTGGTGATTTTGATAGTATTGGTCGCACCACAGCTGTAGTGCCCCCTATGGAGCAAGTGCTGTGTCCTCCTTTGCACAACCCTAAAAAGGGATGCCTGTGCATTCTCTCTTTCTCCTCGTTGTGGCAACGAATGGCGCACAACAGCTTGGTCACCAATGACTCCTAGACACTACGGTTGTCTACCCATGATTTCCGCCAATGCAGTGGACAATCTCCTCACGTCTTTCATTTGGTAGCACGCAATTCTCAGTAATCTAACACTGACCAATCAGCATCGGCAATATTGCGAATTGGGTATCTTGTTACCATTGAAGGAAGACAGGTAGCACTGGAGCCCGCGTCAATTCCTGGGATGTGGTAAGCCATGATGTCCATAGATTTGCTTCATGTTGCCAATGTCTTTTCGCAAAGAACAATGTTGTGTATTAAAACCCTGCAATGGAATG